GTGAAGTATCAGAGCTGAAAAAGATCATGGTGACCATGTGGTCCAACCCCCTCCTTTTAGTGATGAGGCTACAAAGCTGAGGGAGGTTGAATGATTTATCCAGGTTACATGGCTACAAGGAGTGGTACAGAGACTGGACTAGAAAAGACCTCGTAACTTCCAAGCCAGTATATTTTCAACAAGATCACACATTACTAATCATTTTAAAGCATTTGAGCCAAAGTATGATCCATGTATCATAAATGAGAGAATCTTACCAATAGAAGAGACCTTGAGAGGTCATCTAGTGCCATCTCCCTCCTGATGCAAGAATCCTCTTGGCGACGTCCTTGACAAATGACCACTAGTCCCTACTTGCTTAACTCTGATGCCAGGAAGCTCAGTACTTTACAAGGCAACTTGTTTTGTCTTTGGATATCTCTACATATTGGTAAACTTATCTCGACAGAAGGTCAAATTTGTGTTTTTAAAGCATCAGTCCTGAAGGAATAAGGATGGCTAGAGGTAAATGGCATGGTATTAGTGATGGTGAGGAGTTTTACTCTTTTCTTTATCTTAAAATGAGAATAATAATGCTTACCTTGTAGGGTCATTGTGAGGATTAGAGGTACAGTTTATAAAGCATCTGCTGTAGTGGCTGCTTCGAAATAGGTGCTCAAATTGTTGTTATTATTGGCTTTTATCATCTTGATTCCATTTTTTGAAATTATGCCCTCTGGAGCAACACAGACTATGTCTAATCCCACAAATATTTGAAGGCAGTTAGCGTGATCCTCTAAGTCTTCTCTTTTTCAGACTAAATATTCCCTGATTCTCCTAAGGTTCTTCTTGTGATGCATTTTGGATGCCTTCATTGCTTTCATTCCCTCCTATTTGTCAATTTCCCCCTTAAAATGTGGTGGCCAAATGTGGTCAGTCCAACGTGCTCTGTAGTGGAATAATTACTTCCCTTGATCTGGACCTTGCACTTCTCCTACAATAACCTAGATTTATGTTAGCATTTTTGGAGACCAGATCACAGAGTTGGCTCAAGTAAAATCTGATTCTACAGTCCAGAACATTAGCTATGCCTCCCAACATTGTGTCAACCGCAGATTTGACAAGCATGGTTTCTACATCCTCATCCAAGCTGTTGATTAAAGTGTTGAACAAGAAAAGGCCAAAGGCTGAGCCTCGAGGAGCACCTCTGATCCTTCCTTACATATCGACATCCATCCACTGGTTTGGTGACAATGTTTCACCAGCTCCAAAGCTACGCAACGATACTAGCAAAAATAACTCAGCAAGAGATAGTCACTCTTTGTGTTTTTGAAATTGGATATTTAATTTATCCAGAGGTAAAGTGCCATTCTTTTATCAATGAAGACAGGTTTTGAACCCATAATTGGGAAAATGTGAACGCGGAAAATAATTTCATGTTTGAGTTACTATGTAATGCTTAAAGAAAAAAGAATCATCTTCTCTTAATGTGAAATGATAATGTTTGCCTAATTGTTTATTTTTCCAAAGTGTTTTGAAATTACTCTCTGGGTCTGGGGGAAGGAGGCTGGAGAATTTGCAGATTTCATGTATAGGGGAGAAAGGAGATTATTGAAGAATTAGAATAGAACTTTCAGGAGCCTTTTTCATCTCCGGTGGAGATCACAGAGACAAAGAGATGTCTTAAAAGTGGTGGGGGAGAGTGTGAGGCATATTCCTAGATAGTCTTTTTTATTCTTTTTGGTGATTCTCAGAGAAGATTCTTAAACTTTTTGGGAGGGAGAGGTACTTCTTTCTCTCATTTAACATGCTTTACTCTGAAGAAATGAGACCAATTTCTTTGTACTGTAGCACAAGTCAGTTTTTCTTGGTTTTCATGGTGGAGATAAAGAATGGTTGTTGCCATGATTTGAACCAAAGTGCTCAAAGATTTGAAGCTCATCTCTCGGTAATTCCTCCAAGGGCTCACTTAATATTTTCTCAAAGGCTTTTCTTTCCAATAAACATACCACATTTGTGGCTTTCTTCTTAATCCTGATTCTCTCTATTTCTCCAGGCCATAATCAAACAAGTACTTTAACATCTAAAACTGTATTATTGTGAGCATACTTTGAGATTTCAAGGTAAATAGGAGAGAAGTTAGCACTCTAAAAAATTGCCCAGGGAATAAAAGATAAGATTGCATCATACTGAATATTCTAGGAATGTCATTTTATAGTTTATACATTTACTCAATATTTATTGAGCACCTACCACGTGCCAGGCCTAGACAAGTCTGACCTAGACAACAAAGACACAATGGGGAGTAAAGTTAGATAGAGTCCCTTCTCTCATTGTGCTTATATTCTAGAGGAAGAAACAGATATTAATCAAATAATCAAAAACAATTGTAAACTTGTGAAAAGTACTATGAAGGAGAGGGAGATGGTGCCCATCACTGAGTAGGTCAGGGAAGGCTTCCTCACATGATGCTTAATCTGAGATCTGAAGGTGGAGTCAGGGGAAGAGCACAGGTAGCAGTAAATAGCATATTCCAAGGCCTGTGCTGAAATAAAGCATGGTCAGTATGAGGGCAGGAATTCCAGTAAGGTGGAATGAATCACAGAGAGCAAGAGTGAAGGTGGTGTGAGATGAGCTGGGGAGGTAGGAAGGGTCCTATACAGACCTTGGAGGTCACACAAAGAGTGCTGCCAGAGTCTTCTGAACCATGGGAAGCCATCTGAGAAGCTTGCGGCGGGGAGCATAGGGAGAGTTGTGTGTGATGTGATCAGTTTCGGCTTTTGAAAAGATCACTGTGGCTGTAGTATGGAAAAGCAGAGGAAGGGAAGCCAGAGTGAGTGACAGACCAGTTAGAAGACCACTGTCTAGTCCAGGAAAAGAGATGATGGTGATTGGGTATAGGTTGGTGGAAAGAAAGATGGAAAGATAGAAAGAGATGAAGGATACTTATGTTGAATTTGTGGTACTTGGGGACTGCGTATGGGGGTGATGGAAAAGAGGTGCCAAAGGTAACTTAAGGAAGGTTTGTGCATTTTATATTCTTGTTAGTGAATTTAAAGATTAGTATTTTAAAAATTAATTATACAGCTCTACTGATAAACTTTGGTAGCACAGTGCAAGAGAAATAATTTTAAAAGGAGAGTCAGAAATCCTTCTGCGCCTCAGATCTATTATTGACAAAGTAGATGACTGTGAGCAAGATAAAAAATTTTGAGTATCTTTGAGGATCCAAACAGTAAAAAAAATACTACTTATAACTGTTTACTTCATCAAACCCCATTAAGAGCCAAGGAAATAAGTTTTTCAAAGTTGATTTTCAAAAGAAATAACACTATTATCTTTATTTTCGTTATTATTTTTAGTTCAATTCTCTATGTCTCTAGATTCTATAACAAGAACTCAAGCATATCCCTGCACTGCCACCTGAATACAAATCACTACTTCCTTTCATCTTACTTTAACCAACCACAATATTTTCCCATGTCAGAAAAACCTTCCAGTATATAAGAGGACCCTTTGGATCGTGTGTGTATGTATAAACGTGTTCATGCCTTTGGGATCCCTCGACAACACAGTCGGCTCACAGTCTAAGCCAGGTGCCCAGTTTCCATCTGGACCTCTGACAAACTGTGTGGTCAGGATTTAGAAATCAGAAACATGGGAAAGGTGCAATGTGATGGACCCAGCCACCCCAAATACCATATATGTTATCACCATCATTTAGCACATAGTGCAGGAAATCCTGTTCTTTGCAGAAGAACTTCAAAGAACCATTTCTAGTGCCCCAGGGTAACATTTATTTTTTTCTGTGCTAACCCCAAAGCACAGACAGATATATATTTTTCCTCTAGAAAATTGCTAGTGACGCTCTATTTCTTTCCTGCCATCCTCAACCCATTGTCCAAGCGACCTCTCCAATTTCCCTACCCTCCTGGGCTGACAGCTGCACTTGGTTGTTTTCAGAGGTCCACTACTTACTTTGCTTCGCCCTGCACTTTTCTTTCTTTTCTAGGTTCTGAATTTCTCACGTTTCAGCCCCACCATGAGATCAATGCTCTTCTGTCTCAGTGTGAATCCTCTCTTGTCCCAGTGACTTTCTTTTCTAGGAAGAGCTTTCTTTTAAGCCGGCCTTATCCTGCGTATTTTACCTTACTTTTGAATTTTAAACAAAGGAGCCTTCATTCAAGTCATCAGAAATAAATACAGGATATTCAGTCCCTTAAGTGACTCAGTTGTCTCATTTGTTCCTTCACTAGTTTATTCATGCAGTGAATGTGTACTGCATGCCCGCTCTGCTCCAAGCACATGGGATAGAGTTGTAAACACCAACATTCTACATTCTAGAGGAAAAGACAGTGAACAAGGAAACAGACATGCAATTATTGTTCTCTACTCCATTATTCCATAAAATTATTAGAGATTGATTTTATGGAAATACAGCAGAAAGTTGCAATTCTTGCTCTTGTCATTGGATCTCAGACACCATGTCGTCTGTTCTAATCATCCATTCTCAGTCCCCATTTATGGGGACTTCCTCATTTATGATTTGGAAAAGTAGTGGTTTCTTGGGGAAAAAAATAGGTGGTTGTCCACTCTTATAGGACTGAAAAAGAAAAAATAACCCAATGTGCTTGATGTTCAAAGCAGGATGCCAAACAGCTCTTCACTAAATCACAGTATTATGCGCTCACCCCAGAAATCATTTTCAATGCAGTATCACACTCAGTCAGAGAAGATACGTGCTAAACGTCCCTGATGTAAACCGCACATCAGGATGGCGGCAGAGTGACTAGCGAACTTAAAGGTTTTTGCTTATGTGCTTTACTCTTAGGGTGAATAGTTACTTTTCATCTCCTTGTAGCTGTAAGTTATAACAAGATGAATGGACCCGTGGCTTACCAGAAGCCATAACTCTCCATTTAGTTGACATGACCAGATTCCTAATTTTGGCCTTTGAGAGCTTGAGAGTAGAGTCAAACATTGACTTCTTCTGACCTTTCCCCTCTGTCTTCTTTGGGCAGAATATCTCGATGCATAACGCAGTTGGTGGGGCCATGGCAGGGCCCGGAGCTCACCAGCTTGGCAGCACCCGGATGCCCAACCATGACACCAGCGTTGTGATTCAGCAAGCCATGCCGTCGCCCCAGTCCAGCTCTGTCATCACACAGGCACCTTCCACCAACCGTCAGATCGGGTAAGGAGACTTCCTCAGCTGCCTCTAGGTCCTGGCTGGAGCTCAGGGAATGTTCTGGACTTTATCCTTGTTTTTGGTGCTCAGATTGGATGAGTCAGAAGTAGGTTCTCCTGGCTGGGTGTTATTGCCTAAGCGTCAGAGTGATGCTTTTGGTGGGAGAAGGGAGGGGGAGTGTCCACTTGGTAAAAGCTGTTTAATCCTGGACTTTGCGGGAAAAGCAAGTCATTCTATGTCATCATTTCTTCAAAGATGATTTGTGAACTTTAAGATGACTGTGGGAAGCCCCATGGGTGTTACGGAGACCAGAGCATAGTTCTCAGGACAAATGCTTAAGGATGGAGGAGGGACGTTTCACCAGCCCAGCCTCCTCCCCAACAGAGCCTGTCCCTCCTTTCCTAGGACCTGCTAGGCCCATCACCTCTGTCTTCTGTGTATTTCCACAGTCCTCCTTCCCTCTGATTATCCTTCCTTGCTTCTTTTCCTTGTTAATACCTCCTTATCACCTCTCCCTTCCCTCTGCATTGGTCTATACTCATTCCTGGAGTAGACTAAACGAAGAAAGCAGCCCCCTTCCCTCTCATTTACGTAAAAAAGACAATATTGAGACAATTGGTAGGAAGATCCTGCCATAATCCCAGACACTCTGTATTACAGGCTGGAAAGGGTTCTCACTCCTGAGTGCCATGTGATAGCTCTTGCTTCTTGCTACTCGGAGTGTGGTCTGAGGACCAGCAGCGTGGGCATTACCAGGAGCTTCTTAGAAATGAGGAGTCTCTGGCCTAGCTCCCTTATCTCCAGGATGAGGATGGTGTCTCTTCTTTCCACCCTCACAAAGGAGAGTGAAGCAGAAATACAAGATCTAAGAGCACTCTTAGGAAGAAAAGGTAATAACTTAAGCCAAAGAGCTCTGATAAATTTATATTTCCAGATGCTGAGAGCTGCTTGCTCGATGTTCCCAGAATTCTCTGTTTAAAATAGAAAACGGAGCTTGCTGTGTTTGGTATATGCATCAGAATTTAGATTGAATATTCAGTTAAATATTGGATATGGTGATTTTAAAAAAGAAAAACTGGAAGCTGTCCCACAATTTGTCAGTGGGTCTTTCCCTCCTTGTTTTTAATGCTTATGGGAATTCCAGACCAGGAGGGAGCACAGAGGACGACATTGGCTTATTCCTCCTTAGAATGCTCTAGAAGGGGTACCTCGTCTCTCACATTTCTTAACTTATTGGATGGGTTGTGGCATGTGAAGACCCACCTTAACAAATGAGAGCTGCAGGCAATGACCATTTGTGAGTTTGCCATGGGTACGTTTGGTTTCCCATTCAAAAAATAGAAAATTAATCTGGCCATTTGAATGCTTGGCTTTGTTGGAAGAAGCCAATGCTAAATTATCAAGTGTCTCTGTTAAAGATTTCTTTTCTTCTCAAATGACTATGGGAGTAAACGTTGCCACCATCTAAAGCAAGAACCTAAAATATACTAAGAGGGTGGAGTGGGTTTGTTAAAGACAGCATCTACATCTCAAGGCACTCCTTCACTCTAGTGACTTGGCTTTGGGCAGACAATTCACAGTTAGGCCAGCTAATTATAATTATTTTATTTTTCTTTCAAGGGGAAAAAACATAAAATGTGCCAGAGTTTACTAGCAGTTTTACAACATTCCTTCACCCCCTGGAGTTCTCCTCGCGGCCCCCCCGAACTACCCTCTTGGAGGCCCTTAGTATATGGCAATTGTTAGTACAGTGCTGGTTTTTGTGAAACAATCTTTTAAGAGTTAGCACTAAATTCTAAGATGGATGTTGACTCTGTCAAAATTTACCCAGCTGGCCCAGGGCTGTACAGTTGGGTGACATTTCTAGGCTGTGTCACTGTGCCTGGATGGGTGGGGGTGTTTCTCTGGTACACGTGACCTCCCAACCCACTTCATCTTCCCATTTATTCCCAGTCCTGGGGTGTATGTCTTTCCTGGTGTGTTCTAGGAGATAATTGTCACTTTGAGGAGTCTGTCTCATTGCCAGGCTTCAGGGAGGCTGTTTCTTTTGTTTAGATCCTTCCCTGTTGGGCTTACCATGTTGATTCCAACCACACATCCTGTCATTTCCATTTTCTCCATGTGACCCATCCAAAACCTTGCCCGGATGATCGTAGGGGCTCAGCAAGGAACAACCCAACCCATTCCACCAGTGGATTCAGAATGAAACTCTAGGTGGTAACATTTGGGGACGGTTCACTCTTTTATTTCTCTCAGCAAAGAGGAAATGAGTACTTATTTTAAAACATGAGTTCCCTCTGGAGACTGTGTCTTTAAATGAGCATTTGAAATTGCAGATAGTTTTTCTTTTCTTTTTTTTTTGAGGCTGCACAGAACCATATTGTAGTAATATTCTGATTTTTATCACAACCTCAAATATTTAAGTGTCAAAATCTGGCCAAGCCACCTGCAAATGTTTGCCATGGCTACTGGCCAACAAAAACAGCAAACAGCAATGAAAGTCTTCATTCAGGCTCAGCGCTTAAGCTGCATCCAGCCAGAGAGGCTGGGACCCACCTGTGCCCACGCACTGTGCTCTTTTGCTGCGCCCAGTGGGCGTGTTCACAACTGGAACTTTGTGGGAGAGGGAGGGCGCCGCCTGTCTCCTGCTCCCCGTCTTTCCTTCCCTTCTACCAATGTCAATCCAACTTTTGCTCTCTTTTCTGGCCCCTCCTTTCGTGCTGTGTTTAAGCTTAGAGGCTTGAATGTATTGGGAGTGGTATGGACATGAAGGACTGGGAAATGGGAGCAGCGCTGGTTCTCAGGGAAGATTTGGGGGACAAAGTGTATGCATCCTTGTGAGCATTTGATTTTCATACTTTTTGAGCAGGTGCTGAGCCAAAGTAGACCAAAATGGGTGGAAATGCAAAAATCCGAAGAAATTAGGTTAAAAGTAGGTAGACAAGCAACACGAGCAACTTCCATTCCATTCCCATATCACCCCCTTCCATGCCCTATGCCCAGTTCTGTCAAAATAGTACTGTTATAGCGCTGCAATAGAAACTGGAGGTGAGTATAAATATCCCAAATTGCACTCGTGTGGTTAGGCAGGCTAGAAAAACACACGGCGCTCGAGAGTGTGGGAGGCATCCCCAAACTAGTGACTACTTGTGCTTTGTCAAACTGGCAGACGCTCTGTCGGGAAAGGTGTCTTTGGCTGATTGATGGGAGCATTTTAGGAGATAAGTTTTCCAGATGGAAAAAAAAAGAGTGAGCCACGGGCTGTGAGGGAGACAAGTGAGACAGAAAACAAGCATGTGTTAAATATAGATGAAATCGATTCAACCCTAGACCAAATATGTGGCAGATTCCAAGCAGTATCTCTACTCCAGTCATTTTTATTAGATATCATGTAACAGGCTCATTAATTCAGGATGAAGTCACCAAAACCTGGGAAAAATAGTTTCAGAGCTGGTAGTGGTAGCATAAATTCTCTCCTTCTCTGTTTCTTATTCTCTCTTTCTTTCTCTGTCTCTGTCTCTCCTCACGAGACATTTTTGTAGGAGCCAATAATCAGTTGAGTAAATGGCTACAATCTTAACAGATCCCAACTTTCTTTAAAAAGCCTATGGAGTAAATGTTAGTAGATAATTCATGCTCAGTAATTCTTCGAGAGAGCAATGAAGATAATATGGAGTGTGGAGTTCTACAAGAATAGATATCAGTACAGCGTTCTGATAGGTTATGGGAGGCACTGCCAAGATATTCCACAAATTTTCTTCCTGTATTCAAAATGTTCTGCAAATTTAATTTTCGGTACGGAATTGGATAAATATATAAGCTCATTAGATTATTGGTGAAAATTATTTGACGGTAATTGTTTACCATGGAAGTTTGATACGTCTAACATCAGAATAGACAAATGTTCCTACCAACATTTGCTGATATTTGGACAGAAGGTATCTGGCCCATTGTGGAATATTCTAGTTAAGATATCAGGAAACTTGAAGATATGTTCAACAGCATGCATGTATGAAGCCATTTATGCATAAAACCTCGCCCTGATTTTATACCAATTATAGTCCTGGTATATATATGTCCATGTGATATGCGGCCATATTAGCTATTTGGCCATAAATCCCATTTGCATGAAACTGTAGCTAGGTAATGTAGAGCTAATACTTAGCCAGAAATTTCTATAAAATACTATAGAAGCAAATCTTGTTTTATGTAAAAAATAAAAAGGAGCCAATACTCATCATAAATTGTACCTTCTCTCACCCTTTCTGTGCTTCTTTCTCTCTTTTCTCTTTACAATCCCTAACACTACGTGTCATGCAGAATATTAGGTGTAGCTCAATGGACACGACCGAGGAAAACAACAATGACAACGAAATAATAGTAATAATAATGAAAATAAAAACTTATTACACCTCAAAACTTGTTGGTGTCAAAAGCAATGCTGCCCTTCCTATGGGGAGAGTCGGTGGCTTTGTTTTATCAATTGGTGTTGCTGCTTGAGATGTCCATTGAGATGGGAATGATAGTTGATTTGAGGGTTTTGTGTCATTGTTGCTCTGAGGAAACAGAAAGGAGAGAGGTCAGTAAATGATGCTGTTACAGAAAGGCACAGATTAAAAACTTAAATAACAAAGCATCTTCGAGTTTAAGAATGTGCTTGCTCTGTAAATGCATAGGTGTATAAATTCATTACTAAGAGTTTTCGTAAACTCCACAAACCGAGTGTGATTAAAACTGTCACTGCCCACCACAGGTTAATGCTAGTGACATCCAGGCCAGCCTTCTTCCTGCTGGAGGCAGCAGGCCAGCAGGTCCCAGGTTATCACTGGCCCACAGCCCTGCGCCAGGACAGCTTGAAGCCTCCTTTGAGTAATTCAGACCAGAAGCCATTATTTCCTGCTTTGTGTTTTGCTGAATATCACGGCTATGAACATTGCTTTATTGTTAAAGTTGCTGGATCTTTCACAGCCCTGAGAACATTTACGAGGGCCCTTCAGGGGGATGCT